TAGACACTAAATCGTAAATTCAAAATGATTTCATGCTAAATAAAACAAGTGCAACTATTATCATTAATATTTAAACACTATCAAAGGTAAAAATTAAAAATCCGATGATTTCCTGTCAATTTGATGAACAAAACTAATCCCGCAAATGAGTCCAGAATTGCTCGTTTCAGTATTGTCGCAAAAACATCCGGTTTTAATTTTGTCTTCAAAATCGAAAGAAACGTTAGCGATGTCTGAGAAATTTATCGTTTTGAGTCATTAAAATCATTTCATTTTTTAACTGTTGCCTTCCCTTAATTGCTCTTGAAGGATTTAAGGAAAATGGTAAGAAAATTCATGAAGTAAATGCGATGCAACAGTTAAAACCAGTTCGTTGATGCTATGAATATGAGTATACTCAGTAATGTGATTTTGACAATCTTTTTTTGAAAAACTTTTAAGCTATCTCAAAATGACCGAAATTAGGTGAACAAATTTCAGGATCCTTGGGTACGAATTCAAATTTTAGTTCTCAATAAGTTGTTGTCACACTTTTTCCCCATAAATAATGTTATGATGGACAGGGGAAGTAATGAGAAATCTGGAAAAAAACTGGAAGTAACACATTTTATATTCAAAAGATGTTTTGCAATGAATCTTGTAATGCTAACACCTGATTTCAAACCGAAGGCCTTATGTAATTTATATAATAACTCTATGTGATTTACATACTTTTGTTTTTATTACAGAATGTTCACAAGACATAAATTTACCAACATTGCCTGGAAACTTAATGTGCACACTTTTTGAGTCCTGTACAAATATAGAATGCTGTGCTGAAATACCACTGCTTAACACAACATTTAGCTTTTATCTAGACATAGATACTTGTCATTCAAGTGTAACTGTTGGAATAGAGAAAATGTACCACAAGTATACCTTGCTGGATTATACCTATGAAGAAACAGAACATTTCAATTTGCTTGGATTGGCAAGACTGAAGTATGTATGCTTCATTATTACAGTACTAAACTTGATTACAATTTGATATCTTAAATTCCCATCTTAAGTTTAAAAAAAAATTGCTTTGGATTCATTTATTTTTGTGGGTACCAATTTTTGTGGAATGAGAATGTTGTGGATATTTGATTTCATTTTTTTTTCAAAGTTTTTTTTAAAACAGGGTTCCATTGAAAATATTTATAAAAGAAAATATTTTCATGAAATGGTATAAGAAATATTTTTATCATGCATCAAATATTAAAATACTACAATTTAAAAAGAAAAAAGAGTATTGTTGAAAGCCATACCGTGACCTATAGCTGCTGTTAATTTATGTGTCATTTGGTATCTTGTGGAGAGTTGTCTCATTGGCAATCATACCTCATCTTCTTTTTATGCCCCCGATGAGCGGAGGGGGCATTAAGTTTTACTCTTGTCTGTCCATACGTCCGAAAATTGGTTTCCATTCTCTAACTTTAGTTTGCCTCAATAAAATGTTATGAAACTTATACACAATGCTTATTACCACAAACACAGATCAAGTTTGAATTTTGGTGGCGTCACTTATACTGTTATAGAATTATGCCCCTTTACAAATGGAAAAATTGCTAAATTTTTCGTTTCCGTTCTCTAACTTAAGTTTGCCTCAACCAAATGTTATGAAACTTATACACAATGCTTATTACCACAAAACACAGGTCAAGATAAAATTTTGGTAGTGTCACTTTTATCGTGAGTTATGCCCCTTTACAAGTGGAAAAATTGCTGGATTTTTCGTTCTATTCTCTAACTTAAGTTTGCCTCCACCAAATGTTATGAAACTTATACACAATGCTTATTACCACAAAACACAGATCAAGTACAAATTTTGGTGGCGTCACTTTTTTACCGTTCTAAAATTATACCTCTTTATAACATTATATGAAAGCGGGGGCATCATCTGTGTCCCATGGACACATTCCCCATTTATTTATATATACATGCCTTAATGAAACTTGATTAAGATAGATACAGGTGTTATTATATTTAGAAGAAAAAAAACACAGTTCATATGTGTTGCTGGTCACTTTTAGGCTTTGTATCAATTCATATGACCTTACATTTCATCTAAAATGTTTGTTTATAAAGGTATACTATAGAAGATCTTCCTCATCTAGAAGTGATAGTTTTGCACTTAACATTCAGCTTTTGTATGGAATCCAATAGTCCTTGTGAATTGGAAACTACTATTCTGAAAGACATGGTATTTCCAAAACCTGTGTGCAAGCTGGATACAGTTTTTCATAGCAATGGTATGATTATGATAAGATTAAACAATAATCATCATCTTTAATTAGATGTTAACAGATGTGTAGTTTAAAATAAGGAGATGTAGTATGATTGCCAATGAGACAACTATCCGGCAGAGTTGGAATGATGTGGATGTAAGCAATTATCGGCAACCTATGGCCTTCAATAATAAGTAAAACCCACACTGTATAGTCATGTATAAAAGGCCTGGACATGAATAATGTGATGGTATAATTTGCAGTAGAATTTTCAAAACATTATGTGTTTGTAGCCAAGTTATTTTTCTTTATAAATGCATGTACTTAAATTGATGGAAACCATTTTTCTTCTTTATTGAATCTTACTATTGGATAAATGTGATTTCTTTTTTCTATGTTCTTATAAATTCATTAAAATTAAATAAAACAAAACAAATTTTGGCTCAATCATTTCATTTTAAAAAATCTTATACAATGTAACCACCATGTCTACATGGCTTAGTTGTGTTTAAAGATTGTAAATAATAATTAAAATTGACAACAACACTTCAAAAGATCTGCAATTTTATTATCTATGTCTACATGTTTCGCCTGCAAGGCAGGCTTCATCAGGACAATTTTTATACAGAATTTAATCCCTGAAGTACTTCTTTATCTTTTGAAGTGTTGTTGTCAATTTTAATTATTATTTAAGGATTGCATTCATTTGCATGATTTGACAACCCGGCATACCAAGGTATCCACTTCAGGGACTCTACCAAAACGATTTCACAGGCGTTGGTTCACCACACGGAATTTAAAAGATTGTAAATATAATTTGAGATTTTCTAACATTGTAGATATACCTTGGGTTCAAACAACAAGTAATGGTAAGACTTCTTACATGTTTTATAGAATAATCTTCCTGACGATTTAGAAAAAAATTTAATTTCAGTCTGTTTGAAATTTTTAAATGCTTTAACCTTTTAAACTTTTGTGAAAATTAAGCAATAATGCAACCAGACTTTGGCCTAGTCAAACTGGGAAAATGGCTTACATAGATATTTTTGCATGTAGTGTTTTAAGTTCGAAGTACTGAAAACATACTTAAGTAATGTGGTTTCACTACTTTCAAATTATTATACTCTATTCTAGTACTATAATTTCACAGTACCTAATGTGTACATTAAGTTGAAAGTAATAGTTTTATACTTTTCAGGTGCAGTACAAGTTTGGTATAAACACTTTTTTGTGCCTGTCCATTCCTATTAAATAATTTCACTTTAACTTGAATTTTCTATTAATTTTTTTGTAAAAGAGAAGATATGTATTGTTTCTTGAAAGTACTACACTGTCATGGTACAAAACTAGCTCTCGAAGTATGTATTAAAATAGTTTTGACGTGTACAAACTTGATATAACATTTTTTTTTAGTTTTACTTTTTTTGTAATGAAAGACTTGTCAACATATAAAGGGATACACTAACATCTTAGGCCTATAATGTTGTACAAATCAAAGAAAAAAATTAATGTCAACTATATACATATTATTTAATTACTTTTAAAAGTAGTATATCAAAAGTCTTATAAGAATTTAAAATAGCACTTAAAAATTTCTGTATTCAGTCATCTCTGAAACCTGGCAACCTATTGCAAATGAATGCGCCCATGTCCCTTCCCATACATTGAAAAGAAGTTCAATGTATTTTCTGTTTCTGCACAAAGAAATCAACACACTATTAATAGACAAAGTGAAAATACCAAAAGCATATGAATTAATTCTTCTGTTTTTAAATTTAGTTGAAAATGGGGTACAGGTATAATTATATGTATGATCATGTGTATCCTGTTAACCTTCACAATAAGAACACACTCAATTTATTGAAACTTAGGCATAGTAAACTTCTGAATATACATGTAATGTTAGCCACTCAATGTTTATAAGCATCATCATCCAACAATATTCAAGCTGACAAAGACATAATCTTAATCTTTTTTGTTCCAGATTTCTCTTTAGAACAGTGGTATAGAGAAAGACAACTGGTATTAGATACCATCTTACCAGAACACTATGTATCTGAACTTCTGGAACAAACAGGGTTGACAAGATATACATCTGATGATGCTTGTGTTATTAGCCTGCATGAAGTTGATGTCAATGGTTGGAAAAAAGGTATGACGCTATTATTTCTTGGAACATTTTAGTATACTCTTTTACCTCTGTCTGTTCCCCTGTATGTCTGTATGTCTGTCTGTCTGTCTGTCTGTCTGTCTGTCTGTTCTGTTCTGTCTGTCTGTCTGTCTGTCTGTCTGTCTGTCTGTCTGTCTGTCTGTCTGTCTGTATGTCACATGAAATTTCTGTCACATTATTTCAAGGAGCTATAAATCATAGCTTCCTGGAATTTGTTATTAAGCTTCATGGTGGCATGCTTTAAAATGTGACAGTTTTTCAAATTCATCCCTTCATCAACTTCCTGTTTACCAAATACTTGTATAGTATACTAACATATACAGGCCCTTTCTCTTCAACTTTCTGATAAGCAAAAACTAAAAGCAGGGGTATCATTAGTGAGCAATAGCTCACAGCTCTACTTATCATCCCTCGTGTTTCACATGAAGGGGGTATGGTTATGGGCTCTGTCTGTCTGTCTGTCTGTCTGTCTGTCTGTCTCTGTATGTTTGTCTGTCTGTCCAAAACAATATTCAAAGATTGTTTGACACAAAAAGCTTTTGAGTTATGGCACTTATGCCATATTTTGAATATTGTACCCAATGACATATTGTGACAAACAATGTAATTCCTCATTTATACAGTGCTGAATATTTTGCTACAGCAATCAATATTTTTACATCAGGGTCCAGGCATTTTTGTGGATGATAAAACTTGTTATCGTTTGCCCATAATTTAGAATGTACTACTGATAAGTGAAGTAGTACTGTTGTAAATTTAAAATTACATTTAAAACCTTTAAAATATTCTATCTGGTAAACATCGATGAATATTTGTAAATTGTTACCTCATGTACCTCATTTCTGTATTGAGTCTAATATATTTTTGAAAGATTTTATTATGTTGTAGATTGTATTGAGGATACAGTTTTACCAAATATAACATCATATCCATTGGTCTGTCACTTAAAAAGCAGTTGCACTGAAATATCTTGCTGTTTGAATCTGGATTTCATCGGAAAAACCATTGAGGTGCATCTGGGAATTAACCAGGATTTACAACTACTTGAGATTGGAATAGGAAGGCATCAATTTCAGGAATCCTTGCTAGGATTTGACTTTGGTAAACATAAAAAAAAAGAAGAAAATGCCAAGGAGCAATAAAAAAAATAAGTCTAATATCTACAGACAAAACAATGACTAAAAGAAAAAGACATTCAACAATAATGCAGAAAACATAACACTGATAGCTCAACTGTAGTTTTTCATGTATCATCTGTACTGATAGCTCAAAAACTTATCAACACAGACTCCACTAAAACAAGGATAAAATTAATTGATTAAAAAAGGATAGCAGTTCCTGCTTCACCAGTAGTTACCAAATAGTAATGCTAATCGCAATGAAAAGTGACAAGCAAAAATTTTAAGTAGTAATATCACTACTGTAATTTACAGTATCAATAATTTTTTCTACCTTCATGGTTTGTTTTTTTCATAAAACATGGACAGAAGCTTTTTTAGGATCAAGAAATAGCATCTGAATAAAAAAGTTCCTTCCTTTTTTTTTTAAATTTAGTTTTTTTACTGATAAATGGCCTACCGGTACTGTGGATTCATTTATTTTCGTGGGCACCAATTATCGTGGTTTGAGGAAAACTTGCATATTCGTGGATATTTAATTTCGTGGTTTTGGCAAAGTCTACATTCATTCCTTTAGAAAATTTGTAATTCTTATAACATTTGAATTTGTGGTTCCCATGTACCCAGGAAATCCACGAAAATTGGTATTCAACGAATGTTAATGAATCCACAGTAAGTGTTTGGAAGAGAACATAACACTTTTACTCAGTAGTAATAGCAGGTGAGACACTGTTTGAATAGATTTTTGTCAAACTAAGCCATATAAGGGGAGATTACTCTGAAAATATATCTTTTTTTATGCCCCGGCCAGAACAGAGGGGGCATTAAGTTTTACCCTTGTCTGTCTGTACATACGTCGGTCCTTATGTCTCAAGGTTGATTTCCGTTCTCTAACTTTAGTTTGCCTCAACCAAATGGTATGAAACTTATACACAATGCTTATAACCACAAAATACAGATCAAGTTTGAATTTTGGGGGCGTCACTTTAACCGTTCTAGAGCTATGCCTCTTTACAATTGGACAAATTGCTAAATTTTTCGTTTCCGCTCTCTAACTTTAGTTTGCCTCAACCAAATGGTTAATAACTTATACACAATGCTTATTACCACAAAATACAGATCAAGTTTGAATTTTGGGGGCGTCACTTTAAATTTCTAGAGTTAAGCCCCTTTACAATTGGAAAAATTGCTGAATTTTTCATTTCTGTTTTCTTACTTTAGTTTGCCTCAACCAAATGCTATAGAACTTATACACAATGCTTATTACCACAAAATACAGATCAAGTTTGAATTTTGGGGGTGTCACTTTTATAGTTCTAGAGTAATGCCCCTTTACAAATGGGAAAATTGCTGAATATTTCGTTTCCATTCTCTAACTTTAGTTTGCCTCAAACAAATGCTATGAAACTTATACAAAATGCTTATTACAACAAAATACAGATCAGTTATGAATTTTGCTGGTGTTACTTTAACTGTTCTAGAGTTATGCCCCTTTACAAATGGAAAAATTGCTGAATTATTCGTTTCCTTTCTCTTACGTAAGTTGCCTCAACCAAATGTTATGAGACTTATAGACAATTGTTATTACCACAAAACTCCGACCAAGTACAAATTTGGATAGCTTCACTTTTACATTCTTCAGTTATGTCCCTTTATAACTTTATATGATGTGCAAGCGGGAGCATCATCTGTGTCCCATGGACACATTCCCCATTTATTTAAAAGAATGTGTAGTCAATTTACTTATTTTGTTTTGTAGCTAGAAAATGAGTCCAGTGACCCCAACTTCTTCTTTTTATTTTCTGAAAACACATTTTTTTGTTCTGTTTTATTTCTATTCACATAAAAAAGGTTTTTTCGTGTATCATCTGTACAATAAGCACTGTGACCCATATTTTTTTATTTTATCTTTTTTTTATAAAGCATGATATAAACTGCATTTTGGCAATCAATTAAAAAAATAATATTGATTATAATTTAGACCCATGATCTACTTTAATTTATAAAAAGTCATCTTACTCATAGAAGGTCTCTCTTATGAATCTTTGTATATTATAAAAAAAAACACCTACTGTTGTCATAGAAAACGAATAACTGTTAGTAACTATTTACAAAATTTTCCTTTTTTCAGGTGGTGATCATGAATTCAGATTGCTGAATGTGTTTAGATTGAGGTATGTTTATTTATTGTTATACCTGCAGCTTTCTGAAACAGACAATATTTATGATGATGTATCTGAATCTGCTCCTAAACAGCTTGATCTAATTTTGTGAAACATTCACCTTATCTTACTGTGTAATTTTAAATCTGTTTCAAATTCATTGTTATTTTTTTTTTTGGAAAGGGGGGAGAGAGTTTATTCTATTATCAAAGCAAAGACTTGGGATTGTTTTATTTGTGAGTGGGTGGGCATTTATGTTTCTTATTTCGTATCTGTAACTCCGTCTTAACCCCTGTATTACACCCTATTGAAACTTTTGTAACCATATAGCTAATATGCACCTCTTTTTATACGAGCGCACAACATTTTGCGGTCGTATATTGGTATCACATCGTCGTCCGAAGACATTTGGTTTTCGCACAATAACTTTAGTACAAGTAAGTAGAAATCTATGAAATTTAAACACAAGATTTATGACCACAAAGGAAGGTTGGGATTGATATTGCGGGTTATGGTCCCAACAGTTTAGGAATCAGGGGCCAAAAAGGGGCCCAAATAAGCATTTTCTAGTTTCCAGACAATAACTTGTGGAATGGTGTATGGATCTCTCTGAAATTATACCACAAGTTTCCATACCACAAAGGGATGGTAAAAAATGGCTTTGGGGGGTTATGGCTCAAACCGTTTAGGAATTAGGGGCAAAAAAGGGGGAAAAACAAGGTTGTCCAGGTTAATGGACAATAACATAAGTACAAAACATAATTTAAAAGCAGTATAAGGGAAGTAATTCAAACACAATATTTTGAATTACCTCCCTTACACTGCTTTTAAATTATGTATAAAGAAATGTTGTATTGTCTTGAGGTGATCAGCTGTCAATTTATTTTTAGAAGGTACTATTTTAAAAATGCTGATTTAATTTAAGCCATGATTATGTATGTCATTTTCTATTTTAAGACTTTTATGATGTATTTAAATGGGTTATTATGGTTGCAAACTCCATTGGAAATTTGAATTGAGATTATGACCATATCTTGAGGGAAAGAATTTTTTTTTGGAAAAGGGGGGAGGGGAGGAGGTTAAAAAAAAAGGGGGGGGGGGGGGTAAAATTTAAAAAAAAAAAATTGGGGGGGGAAGGGGGGTCAATTCGCAACAGCATAGTGTATTGCACAAAAGCAAAAAAATGAATATCAATTCAAATCACATAACCAATTCAAGTTCTTTGACTACAGTTATTCTGTGTCAGAAGCCTTTTTTGTGTCAAATATTTAATTACAATCCAAATTCAGACCTGTATCAAGTGTGAATATTGTGTCCATTTTTGCCCCAACTGTTCAGGGTTGGACCTCTGCGGTCGTATCCAGCTGCGCTCAGCGAATCAATTTATTTATACTTATCAGAACTATTAATGATTTTCCCTGAGCAAGTTGAGTGCTTTGCAAGTGGCAGGGGGTATATTTTCTTGAGTTTTGCTATGAGTACATTTACTTTTTAGAAAAAATTGACTTCTAAATAAAACTTACCTTTCTTAAAAAAAATTAGTGATCTTAGCACTGGAGCTATGAAAGAAATCATAGGAATATTTTAACAGTTTCAACAAGATTTTTCTGTTTTATTAACCGGATTTTCGAGGAAAATATCGGTTTTTGATTTTGGGATGTATGGCGGGTGGTCGGGCGGGTGGCAGCCAAATGTTGTCCCTGCATTTACTCATGAACCGTTCAACCAAAGCTTTTAAAATTTTAATATGTTGTTACTGACAACAAAATGGAGGTCAAGTTTAATAATGACGATTTTGACTTTTACCGTTCAGGAGTTTTGGTTCTTGAAAGATTGAAAAATGGCATTTCCAGTAGTGTCCATGCATTTACTCATGAACCGTTCAACCAAAGCTTTTCAAATTTAAATATGTTGTAACTGATAACAAATGGAAGTCAAGTTCAATAATGGTGATTTTCACTTTTCCTGTTCAGGAGTTATGGTTCGTGAAAGATTGAAAAATGGCGTTTCCAGTCATGTCATTGCATTTATTCATGAACCATTCAACCAAAGCTTTTCAAATTTTAATATTCAATCACAATTCAAATTCAGAGCTTTTTTAAGCTTAAATGTTGTGTCTATTCTTGCTCAGCTGTTCAGGGTTTGACCTCTGCAGGAAAATCTGGTTTGCTGTCTCTCTGACAGCCTCTTGTTTGATATTTCATCCAATAATTTATGTGTTCTTTATATTTCTTTATCTAGATATAATATATACGACTCACTACATCAGAATGAATACTTGGTGACACTAGAGGTTTCAGTTTGTTGGGAAAGTTACAAACCATGTGCCTGGACTACTTACATACTAAAGAATACACGACTTCCTAAACAACCAAGAAATTTACAGAATGATTTCAGAGTTGCTGGTAAGCATTTCAGTAAATACAATTTTAAAAGGTAACTATAAAGAATTACTCACTCAACATGCACAAGAAGGTAAAATTTCAAAAAATTTGACTATGTAAAATTTGGCATACAATCTGGACATGTTGAACTCATTGAAAATCAATAAAAAATAATTCATTTAACTGTTATACTAAAATCTTAAAGAATTGAAATCCTCAAAATGGGTAAACATTTGTATGAAGCACACATAAAATCTATAGATTGATATAAGTGTGGATGGCTTGGAAAATTTGGCCAAAAGATTTTTGGTTCAAATTCTTTTTTGTAAATAACTGATATGATAATAGTACTGAAAAGAAAATAATTTGTTCCCCATGATTGAACTTTAATGCCCTTAAAAAAAAATTATTTGAAAATAACTCATGTGTTTTAAGGAAATTTTCTTGATTGCTCATAAAGTAAAACCAGATATCAAGTGGCTAAATTTTATCTAGGGAAGTGATTTAGGCCTATAAGAGCCACTTTTTTTAAAAAAACAATAATTTGATAAATGAGATGAATAGATAATATTTAGAGAACATTAGAGACTGTCTGCTTTTGTTGATAAGATATGTTTATTCATTTCAGATTTTGACTTTTTGGATTGGACTTCTGAGAGAAGTATTGATTCTAGAAATTTAAGTAGCCTTGATCTTCTGAGATTGTATAATGATTTAGACATTGAGAGTTATTTCTCAAATGAATGTGAAAACAGCACAGTGCACTCAGACAGCTGGAACTCTGGTATGTTTTAGAATTATGTTCTATTTATATACCCTACAGAAAATGACTTAAGTAGGGGTATACTGCTATTGTTCTTGTTCTCTCTCTGGTTTCCTGGATGATATTAAGCTTCATTTTGGCATAATGTTCTCTGTGATATGTTTTCACATCAATTGCATATTATATTCCATTTTACCAAGTACTTATACAGTGTTATCATGAATATGCAGTAGCTCACAGTAGGTCTTGTTTTATAGTGAACTGCTTCAGATTTGAATCACGAACTGAGATTTTTTTCCGATTGAAAAGCCCTATAAGGTGAAAAACTTTGTGATAATGAAATAGGTTTATTATGCCTTTTTTCAGTATAATTTGAAGTAAACAACATATTTCAGATTGATTGAGTATTTGATATTAAAATAAGAAGGTTTGGATTGATTGCACATTAGTAGTGATGGAAATCAGTGAATTTTTTCGATCAATGATTGCCAAATAAACACTAACCATTATTGATGATTGGTGCAAGTTAATTTCATAGACAAGATTTTTGCCAATACACTTTCATTTCAACACACATCTTCCAGTTGTATTTTATCTATTTTTTGCAAAAAAGGCCAGCTGTGTGATACAGGCTCATTGGAGCCTCTAGTTTTTATTGCAGTTTTCTATAATGATTTTATTCTTGATCTGAAAGTTAAGTAAGACAGTTGTTATCCATTCGTTTGATGTGTTTGAGCTTTTGATTTTGCCATTTGATAAGGGACTTTCTGTTTTGAATTTTCCTTGGAGTTCAGTATTTTTGTGATTTTACTTTTTAGCTCACCTGGCCCAAAGGGCCAAGTGAGCTTTTCTCATCACTTGGCGTCCGTCGTCTGTTGTCCGTTGTCAGTCGTCCGTCGTCCGTTAACTTTTACAAAAATCTTCTCCTCTGAAACTACTGGGCCGAAGTTAACCAAACTTGGCCACAATTATCATTGGGGTATCTAGTTTAAAAAATGTGTCCGACGACCCGGCCCGCCAACCAAGATGGCTGCCATGGCTAAAAATAGAACATAGGGGTAAAATGAAGATTTTGGCTTATATCTCTGAAACTAAAGCATTTAGAGCAAATCTGATATGGGGTAAAATTGTTCATCAGGTCAAGATCTATCTGCCCTGAAATTTTCGGACAAATCAGACAACCCGTTGTTGGGTTACTGCCCCTGAGTTGGTAATTTTAAGAAAATTTTGCAGTTTTTGGGGATTATCTTCAATATTATTATAGATATAGATAAACTGTAAACAGCAATAATGTACAGCAAAGTAAGATCTACAAATAAGTCAACATGACCAAAATGGTCAATTGACCCCTTAAGGAGTAATTGCCCTTATAATCAATTTTTACCATTTTTTCAGAATTTTTGTAATCTTTTACAAAAATCTTCTCCTCTGAAACTACTGGGCCAAATAGAATCAAACTTGGCCACAATCATCATTAGGGTATTTAGTTTAAAAAATGTGTCCGATGATCCAACCCGTAGACCAAAATGGCCGACATGGCTAAAAGTAGAACATAGGGGTAAAATACAGTTTATGGCTTATATCTCTGAAACTAAAGCATTTAGAGCAAATCTGACAACTGGTAAAATTGTTCATCAAGTGAAGTTCTATCTGCCCTGATGTTTTCAGACGAATCAGACAACCTGTTGTTGGGTTGCAGCCCCTGAATTAGTTATTTTAAGGAAATTTTGCAGTTTTTGGAAATTATCTTGAATATTATTATAGATAGAGATAAACTGTAAACAGCAATAATGGTCAGCAAAGTAAGATCTACAAATAAGTTAACATGACCAAAATTGTCAATTGACCCCTTAAGGAGTTATTGCCCTTTATAGTCAATTTTTTACAATTTTTTACAATTTTTGTAATCTTTTACAAAAATCTTCTTCTCTGAAACTACTGAGACAAATTTAACCATACTTGGCCATAATCATTATTAGGGTATCTAGTTAAAAATTTGTCCAATGACCCCGCCTTCCAACCATCATGGCCAACTTGGTTAAAAATAGAACATAGGGGTAAAATGCAGTTTTTATACGACCGCAAAAAAATTTTGTGGTCGTATATTGGTATGACGTTGGCGTCGTCGTCGTCGTCGTCCGGCGTCGTCGTCCGAAGACACATTGGTTTTCGCACTCTAACTTTAGTTTAAGTGAATGGATCTTTTTGAAATTTGACCATAAGGTTAAATACCACAAAAGGAAGGTTGGGATAGATTTTCGGGGTTATGGTACCAACAGTTAAGGAATTAGGGGCCAAAAAGGGGCCAAAAATAAGCATTTTCTAGTTTCCAGACAATAACTGTGGAACGGTGTATGGATCTCTCTGAAATTATACTACAAGTTTCCATACCACAAAGGGATGGTTAGGATTTGCTTTGGGGGGTAATGGCTCAAACCGTTTAGGAATTAGGGGCAAAAAAGGGGGAAAAACAGGGTTGTCCTGGTTAATGGACAAATACTTTAGTACAAAACATAATTTAAAGCAGTGTAAGGGAGATAAATCAAATACATCATTGAAATTATCTCCCTTACACTGCTTTTAAATTATGTATAAAGTAATGGTTAATGAACAATAAAGATAATTTAAAACAGTGTAAGGGAGGTAATCCAAATACAACGTTTTGGTTACTTCCCTTACACTGCTTTTAAATTATGTTTAAAGAAATGCATATTTATAAAGGAAGACCAGTAAAAATATCTGCAAATGTTGCATCTTTTTTTTTTACAAAAAAATCCATATGAAAGATTTGACACTATATTTTTAATTCTATTATAAAATAGATTAAGTTAGCACTATGGTAAATTTAAATGGGTAATTATGGTTGCCAACTCCATTGGAAATTTGAATTGAGATTATGACCATATCTTGAGGGAAAGAATTTTTTGGGGGAAAAAAGGGGGGGGGGGATAGAAAGAAATTGTGGGGGGTCAATTTTTTCTCATTTCAGATTTCAGAAATTAAAAAGAATTATTCTTCAAAAATTTTTTTTTATCAAATTTCAAATATTGAAAAATTTCAAGAAGTCTTTAATTGCACAGTATGGCGCATTAGATTTGTAAAATCTTCGATCACATTTATTTATTTGTTATGCCGAATCTAACAGTGTATTTAGATTTTTAATTTTGGGTCCAGTTTTCAAAATAGTCTACATTAAGGTCCAAAGGGTCCAAAATGAAACTTTGTTTGATTTTAGCAAAAATTGAATATATGAGGTTCTTTGATATGCTGAATCTAAACATGTATTTAGATTTTTGATTTTTGGCCCAGTTTTCAAGTTGGTCCAAATTGGGGTCCAAAATTAAACTTTGTTTGATTTCAACAAAAATTGAACATATGGGGTTCTTTGATATGCTGAATCTAACCATGTATTTAGATTTTTTATTTGTGGAACCCGTTATCAAATTGGTTCATATTGAGGTCAAAAGGGTCCAAAATTAAACTTTGTTTGATTTCATCAAAAATTGAATTATTGGGGTTCTTTGATATTCCAAATCTAACCGTGTATTAAGATTTTTAATTTTGGGTCCTGTTTTTTAAATTGGTCTACATTAAGGTCCAAAGGGTCCAAAATGAAACTTAGTTTGATTTTAACAAAAATTGAATTCTTGGGGTTCTTTGATATGCTGAATCTAAACATGTGTTTAGATTTTTGATTATGGGCCCAGTTTTCAAGTTGGTCCAAGATAGGGTCCAGTATTTAAACTTTGTTTGATTTCAACAAAAATTGAATATATGGGGTTCTTTGATATGCTGAATCTAAACTTGTATTTAGATTTTTGATTATGGGCCCAGTTTTCAAGTTGGTCCAAATTGGGGTCCAAAATTAAACTTTGTTTGATTTCAACAAAAATTGAATATATGAGGTTCTTTGATATGCTGAATCTAACCATGTATTTAGATTTTCTATTTGTAGGCCCCGCTTTCAAATTGGTTCATATTGAGGTCAAAAGGGTCCAAAATTAAACTTTGTTTGATTTCATCAAAAATTGGGGTTCTTTGATATGCCAAATCTAACCGTGTTTTTTAGATTTTTAATTTGGGTCCCGTTTTTTAAATTGGTCTTCATTGAGGTCCAAAGGGTCCAAAATGAAACTTAGTTTGATTTTAACAAAAATTGAATTCTTGGGGTTCTTTGATATGCTGAATCTAAACATGTGTTTAGATTTTTGATTATGGGCCCAGTTTTCAAGTTGGTCCAAGTTGGGGTCCAAAATTAAACTTTTTTTGATTTCAACAAAAATTGAATATATGGGGTTCTTTGATATGCTGAATCTAACCATGAATTTAGATTTTGTATTTGTGGGCCCCGCTATCAAATTGGTTCATATTGAGGTCAAAAGGGTCCAAAATTAAACTTTATTTGATTTCATCAAAAATTGAATTATTGGGGTTCTTTGATATTCCAAATCTAACCGTGTATTTAGATTTTTAATTTTAAGTCCCGTTTTTTAAATTGGTCTACATTAAGGTCCAAAGGGTCCAAAATTAAACTTAGTTTGATTTTAGCAAAAATTGAATTCTTGGGGTTCTTTGATATGCTGAATCTAAACATGTGTTTAGATTTTTGATTATGGGCCCAGTTTTCAAGTTTGTCCAAGTTGGGGTCCAAAATTAAACTTTGTTTGATTTTAACAAAAATTGAATATATGGGGTTCTTTGATATGCTGAATCTAACCATGTATTTTGATTTTGGACATTGGACCATAATAGGTAAATTAAAAAAATTCAAGTTCTTAGACCACATTCTTTCTGTGTCAGAAACCTATGCTGTGTCAAATATTTAATAACAATCCAAATTCAGAGCTGTATCAAGCTTGAATGTTGTGTCCATATTTGCCCCAACTGTTCAGGATTCGACCTCTGCGGTCGTATCAAGCTGCGCCCCAGCGAAGCATTTTATTGGTTTATATCTCTGAAACTAAAGCATTAAGAACAAATCTGACAGGTGGCAAAAATGTTCATCAGATTTAGATTTATCTGCCCTGAAATTTTCAGATGAATCCGACAACCTGTTGTTGGGTTGCTGCCCCTGAGTTAGTAATTTTACAAAAATTTTGCAGTTTTTTGTTATTATCTTAGATATCATTATAATATCTAATATCTAATACTATTAATTATGATTTTAACCGTATTTTACATGATTTCCAAAGCATCAGTAAATACAGGTGAGCGACACGGGCTCTTGAGAGCCTCTAGTTTCGATTTTTGCCTATTATCATATCTTGAAAACTATAAAAGATAGAGAGAAACTTTAAATTGCAAAAATGATCAGAAGGACAAGTTCTTCAAATAAGTCTTATGGTTGAAATCATCAGTTGACTCCTTATTAGAGTTATTTCCCTTTGATGCCGATTTGTACAATTTTTTTTGCGTTTTTGTCTTATATCTTAAAACTTATAATAGATAGAAAGAAACTTAAATATACAAAAATGATCAGCAAGACAAAATCTACAATTAAGACAAATGGCAGAAATTGTCTAACGACTCCTTATTGGAGTTATTGCCCTTTAATTATGATTTTTACCAATTTTTTGGCGTTTTTCCTTGTATGATATTAATTATAATAGATAGATAGAAACTTAACTAATCAAAAATGATAAGCAAGACAAGACCTACTAACAAGTCAAATTTTGCTGATATAATAAGTAGACTGTTACTCTTTATAGGAGCTTTTTTACCCTCTTTTGTGTTTAGAGCAAAAGCTAAATAAGATAATGAAGATAGAGAGAAACTAAACAGACTTCAATGATCAGCAATATAAGATACAAAAAAAAACAGAGATTTTTGTCATTAATTCTATTCTCGTCTACAATGTTGGAGAGTGTCCCCTGTTGAATATGCATATAGACCAAGGTGAGCGACACAGGCTCTTGAGAGCCTCTAGTTAGATTAAATTTTAAACCCTTTACATTTTTTTTTGTTTTGGTGCTATCCATTTTAATCTCTTCTGTGAATGAGCAGTATATTATTTATATATGCCTTCTTACTTTATAGAATGTCTGGCATCTATAAGTTTACCAGTACTACCACCAACAACAAAATGTCATCTGTTTAACTCTTGTACTTTCATCAGCTGTTGTGTTGAAGTTCCAGTCCTTCAGAGATCATTTAACATGTTTATGAATTTGGATGCTTGTAACCTAAAGTTGACAGTTGGAATAGAAAAACTGTTGTTTGAACAGATGCTTTCCAGCTATCAGTGGGGAACAAAGAAGTCATTTTGGCTAAATGGAATCTTGAGAATTAGGTATTATAATAGTGTTATGTATGAATAACAGATTTTTCAATAATTTAAATACCCTGACCAACAACAATTGATTCTCATGAGAGGATTAACTTTTTTCTACAATAACTTACTGTTGCAGCATTTCTATGAGGTAATAAGTTTTTAAACATTGCTTTTTTTTCTTATAAAACATAAAGAACACAAATTGTTACATTTTTTGTCATTAAAAAGGTTGATAGTTTAACAACTTCTCAATTGAACATTGTGTATTGAAGTATATTTTATTTGCAGCTATCAAGTACATAATTTACAGTATGCTAAGAAGTATAGATTATCAGTGTTGCTTGAAGTATGTATGTCATCAAAAAAACCATGTGTTCAGAATATAACAGTACTTGACAATGTAGACATGCTCAAAGAAGAATGTGATTGGAGACAAAACTATACAATACCAAGTAATTTTAAATAAAAATATTCAAATATATAACAACCATGAAAAAAAGCAACAAGAATACATTTTGTGTTGTGCTAACTTTACTAAATATTGACATACAGTAGGATTCTTTCAAAATGACAATTAAGTTTAATCAATAAACTTTCAAAAATAAATGATATCTAGTACATTGACCAGTTAGTGAGGTAAAAAAAAACACTATTAATATGCCAGATGTAGATCACTATCTCTAGTGCCTTGTAGTAATGAACATGGTGTTGATTTTTTTTTAAATCTACCTACCATGATGTAGGTCATGTTGTAAATATTTTTCTTGTTATAAACTTGACAACCCCAAAGCAGATCGATAGAGGAACAGTGTTTTTTGCTGTTTATCATCTTAGAAGTAAATAAGCTCATGTTAAATGTATATGATTTCAGGCTTTTCATACAGTGACTGGAGAATCTCCAAGCTTAATCACTATGATTATTCTGAACAAGAGCTTATTCTACACCTCATTGACGAAACTAGAATAGGACTTTACATGGAACAGAGTTCATGTCCAAAACACTTTGTGGATAATATTTTACTGTCAGGTATACAAATGTTTTGGTCAATTTATGATTAGCACCTGAACATGTTTAAAATTTATACTAGGATTTACACCTGAATAGATCATTTCTGACGATATTGAACCAATTGTTTCCTAAAGGGAAATCAGAATATCAAAATCCAGAGGACATATAAAAAAGAAGATGTGGTATGATTGCCAATGAGACAACTCTCAGCAAGAGACCAAATGACACAGAAATTAACAACTACAGGTCACCGTACGGCCTTCAACAATGAGCAAAGCTCATACAGCACAGTCAGGCCCCGAAATAACAATGTAAAACAATTCAAACGAGAAAACTAACAGCCTAATTTATGTACAAAAAATGAACGAAAAACAAATATGTAACACATAAACATGCATGTACAATACAAATAAAAAGGAAGAAGACTGGTATAGAATCAACAAAAACATATGTATATGAATAGTGAACACAAAAACCCAAGGCTTGGGTATAAATACAAACTCCAACAGAACTGGTACTGATTGCCTGTGGCAGAAGAGTAGGCATTTCCTGCCTTGAATAAATAAACAACCATCAAACTTTAAATCCACTAATCAATTTTGTCAAACCAATGAAGTGTGGTATCTTAGTTATATATTTTGTACCTTGGATTGATTGAATATGTGCTAAGTGGGCAACATTGAAACTCTGTTTTTTATTATTATTATTATTTTGACCTTTAACTATTGGCATTGCAGTTTTTATACGACCGCAAAAAAATTTTTGTGGTCGTATATTGGTCTGACGTTGGCTTTGTCGTCGTCGTCGTCGTCGTCGTCGTCGTCCGAAGACGCATTAGTTTTCGCACTCTAACTTTAGTTTAAGTGAATGGATCTCTATGAAATTTTACCATAAGGTTCAATACCACAAAAGGAAGGTGGGGATTGATTTTGGGGGTTATGGTACCAACAGTTAAGGAATTAGGGGCCAAAAAGGGGCCAAAAATAAGCATTTTCTAGATTCCAGACAATAACTGTGGAACGGTGTATGGATCTCTCTGAAATTATACTACAAGTTTCCATACCACAAAGGGATGGTTAGGATTTGCTTTGGGGGGTTATTGCTCAAACCGTTTAAGAATTAGGGGCAAAAAAGGGGGAAAAACAAGGTTGTCTTCATTAATGGACAAATACTTTAGTACAAAACATAACTTAAAGCAGTGTAAGGGAGATAAATCAAATACATCATTGAAATTATCTCCCTTACACTGCTTTTAAATTATGTATAAAGTAATGGTTAATGAACAATTAAGATAATTTAAAACAGTGTAAGGGATGTAATCCAAATACAACGTTTTGGTTACTTCCCTTACACTGCTTTTAAATTATGTTTAAAGAAATGCATATTTATAAAGGAAGACCAGTATGGCGCATTAGATTTGTAAAATCTTTGACCACATTTATTTATTTGTTATGCCAAATCTAACCGTGTTTTTAGATTTTTAATTTTGGGTCCCGTTTTTTTTAATTGGTCTACATTAAGGTCCAAAGGGTCCAAAATTAAACTTAGTTTGATTTTAACAAAAATTGAATTCTTGGGGTACTTTGATATGCTAATGTTTAGATTTTTGATTATGGGACCAGTTTTCAAGTTTGTCCAAGTTGGGGTCCAAAATTAAACTTTGTTTGATTTCAACAAAAATTGAATATATGGGGTTCTTTGATATGCTGAATCTAACCATGTATTTTGATTTTGGACATTGGACCATAATAGGTAAATTAAAAAAATTGAAGTTCTTAGACCACATTCTTTCTGTGTCAGAAACCTATGCTGTGTCAAATATTTAATCACAATCCAAATTCAGAGCTGTATCAAGCTTGAATGTTGTGTCCATACTTGCCCCAACTGTTCAGGGTTCGACCTCTGCGGTCGTATCAAGCTGCGCCCAGCGAAGCATTTTATTCTTTATGCATGGCAATAAATCTTTTTACAGACTGTCCAAAGATTACAAGCATAGACCCATTGGATGGACCTGTTAGATGCTACAACAATGGTCATTGTAGTTCTGTAGACTGTTGTGTCTATGATGAAAAGATACTGACCAGCCTCAATGTATTCATCAATATTGATTCTTGTAATGATGTTATAGATGGTGGAATTGAAAAGTATAAATTTTCAAAATCTCTTCTTGAATTTGATTGGAGTAAGTATTTATTAGTTCCCTTTGGTTATGTCTCTAATATTCATTTGTTTAATTAAAAGTTACTGGTCTCTTTCTTCACCTAGAAAACTAAATTTTTACAAAATTAATTTATTTGTTGGTAGCATCATTTAACCTCTAAATTCAAGATAATAACCCTGCTAAAATTACCTGCTATACAGAATACAGTTTTTTCTTTTGCAATGACTATTATTTGCTTGCAGTTACATTGATGGTCTGATAAAGTCCACACAAATGTTTTAAAGCAAAGAACATTTACATACCCTTAAAAGTCTTGTTCAATACACACAACCTTTTTTAACACTGAAATTTAGTAAAATAGAAAAAAAAGTTGTTAGTACATGTATCTTGTTATCCAGGTTCATTGAAAAACCTGCTTTCCTTCACCAAAAGAAGAATACAATGTTGATTGATTTATTATTCTAGAATACGTAACAAAGGATGAAATTAGGAAAAATAACTCTATTCTTCTAAAAACTTGAAAACTGACCATTTGCACTTTTTATTTGAGCTAATTAACCCTTTCGCTTCAGACAGCTGATGATGAGTCCCGGTTTACTGGGATCAGAATACCTCTTTTACATTTCCTGCTCAAAACATTGCAAACACAAGTTATCTTTCTTTGTAAAATAACTGGATGAAAGTGTAAACATGGCGCTTCCGTTTGTTGAAAACTGTTTCAAAATTAGATGAAATTTACGGAATAACAAGTAATTGAAATAAGGGAAAATTTTTTTGGAAAGAATATGGAAGAATTGAAGCCAGACATGTATACTTTTTCTACATATAAAGCCGTTTTATGTACAAATGTACTTGGAATGGACAATGTTCAGTGTACATGGTGTAAGGAATGTGTACAGCCTCATTAAATTTTTTCAAAGTTTTGCCGATTTGGGTCAGAAAATTACGATTTTAAGCCAAAAAGCAGAATTCTGAGAATTTCATCTAAATATTGCCAAAAATTATCAAATTTAGATTTTTTTGGACAAAAAAATTATCAAAACATGAACAAAACAGTGTACATGGTGTTAGTGAATGAAATAAAGACAAAAATAACTACAGACAAGTTTTCATTGATATTTATTATGAAGATCTCCCACTTGAGTCATAGTAGCCAGGGAAGCCATTGTCTCAGAGTAGCTTCCATCAGGGCAGCTATCAGTGAAAGGGTTAAGGTCAATAAAACCTCATTTTATTGTCTATTTATTCATTTTTATTTGCGGTCGTATATTGGTATCACGTCGTCGTCGTCATCCGCATCGTCCGAAGACACTTACTTTCCGGACATTAACTTTAGTTTAAGTGAATGTATCTCTATGAAATTTAAAGACAAGGTTTGAAACCACAAAAGGAAGGTTGGGATTGATTTTGGGGGTTATGGTCTCAACAGTTTTTAAAGGAATTAAGGGCCTAAAAAGGGGTCCAAATAAGCATTTTTCTAGTTTCCAGACAATAACGTGTGTGTAAGTGCATGGATCTTTCTGAAATTGTACCACAAGGTTCCATACCAAAAAAGGAAGGTTGGGATTGATTTTGGGGGTTATGGCTTTAACTGTTTAGGAATTAGGGGCAAAAAAGGGACCAAAAACAATACTTTTCTAATACTTTGTATAAATTGCTTATTTCTGGACCAATTTCAATGGGGTTTTATTCTTGCATTCTTGGGGTTCTTTAATATGCTGAATCAAACCGTGTATTAAGTTTTTGGATTTTGGGCCCTGTTTTTTAATTGGTCCACATTGAGGTCCAAAGGGTCCAAAATTAAACTTTGTTTGATTTCATCAAAAATTGAATTATTGGGGTTCTTTGATATGCAGAATTTAACCGTGTATTTAGATTTTTAATTTTTGGTCATGTTTTCAAATTGGTCTACATTAAGGTCCAAAGGGTCCAAAGGGTCCAAAATTAAACTTAGTTTGATTTTAACAAATATTGAATTCTTGGGGTACTTTGATATGTTGAATCTAAACATGTATTTAGATTTTTGATTATGGGGCCAGTTTTTAAGTTGGTCCAAATGGGGGTCCAAAATTAAACTTTGTTTGATTTCAACAAAAATTGAATATATGGGGTTCTTTGATTTTTGATTTTTGGGCCCCGTTATCAAATTGGTCCACATTGATGTCAAAAGGGTCCAAAATGAAACTTGGGGTTCTTTGATATGCTGAATCTAACCATGTATTTAGATTTTGGATATTGGACCATAATAGGTAAATGTCCAATTTAAAATTTTTAAGTTCTTAGACCACATTCATTCTGTGTCAGAAACCTATGCTGTGTCAAATATTTAATCACAATCCAAATTCAGAGCTGTATCAAGCTTGAATGTTGTGTCCATACTTGCCCCACCTGTTCAAGGTTGGACCTCTGCGGTCGTATCAAGCTGCGCCCTGCGGAGCATTTTATACAAATTAACATGATGATTTTGTGTAAAAGGGGAATCTTGATGATAATGGCATATCATTATAATTTGATACAAAATACCATGGTATATGATTTCAAGATTTTAATGAATTTCTACTTATTTCTTTATAGAAGCAGAGCATGAAATTTATCTTGGTGGAATTTATCAACTTCAGTAAGTTGTCTTATAGTCACAAGAAAGTTTTATTTGTAAAAAAATTGGAGTAAACACCATTTTTCTACTAAATTTCAACTTATACTTATCGGGTACAGCAAAAGATATATATCTATAGAATATAAATAACTTTGAAATTTTGATTTTATTACATACATGTTTATATCTTTCTTTCTTTTAAAGTCTCATTAAAAAGTCATTTATTTGACAAATATCTAAAAATTGTTTATTCTTAAAACATTTATTTATTTCAATTAGTATTTTTTTTGTAGTTTTCAACTTGAAGAATTACCTGGAAGTAACAACTATATTATCAGTATGGAAATAAGCATATGTTGGTATTATGAAGCAGCATGTGATTATAGGATTACAGTCCTCGAAAACAATATTTTAGCAAAAGAAAATTGTGACTGGAAAAGGCCATTCCTTAAACCAGGTATTTGAGTTTTTATGCCCCTTATAGTGGGGCATAAATATGTTTTTCGGTCTGTACGTCCATTCATCCGTCTGTTCGTTCATTCATCGTTCTTTTGTCGCCTGTCCCGTTTCAGGTTAAAGTTTTTGGTCAAGATAGTTTTTTATTAAGTTGATGTCTAATTAAATTGAAATTTAGTACACATGTCCCTCTGATATGATCTTTCTAATTTCAATACCCAATTAGAGTTTTGACCCCAATATCACGGTCCACTGGACATAGAAAATGATAGTACGAGTGGGGCATCCATGTACTATGGATAAATTCTTGTTTATGCAGGTTTTTGAAATTTTATGGCAGCTTTAAATGCAGGTTATTGAGTTTTGTTCTGACAACCTTACCTAATATTGAAATACAAATGACTTCAGACAAGTTCAGTATGGTTCATGTTCTTGGGCTGTAAATATAGCTTGTAAAAGTAAAAGATAGCCCTACACTGTCGTTAGTACAACTTGAAAATAGTCTTTAATCTAAAAAGTTGACAATGATTTGTACAAGTTGAAGATAGCCCCTAATCTGGTATGTTTACTATGATTTTTAAAAGTTAAACATAGATTATGACTGAAATGTACATGTTAACGATATCTTTACTGAAAGTTTGACTATGATTTGTACAAGTTAAATATATCTCTTATCTGGAAGTCTGACCGATTTGTACAAATGAAAGATATCTTATCCAGATGTTTGACTGATTTGTACAAGTTTAAGATATCTCTCATCTGGGAGTTTGAAAATGATTTGTACAAGTTAAAGAAATCTCTTATCTGGAAGTTTGACTGATTTGTAAAGTGGATGATAACCCATAATCTGGAAGCATGACTGATTTGTACAAGTTTAAGATCTGGAAATTTGACTATTTTGCACAAGTTGAAGATAGTCCCTTCTATGAAAGTTTGACTGTTTTTTTTTTATAAGTTGATAGGCTTGAAGTTTAATTATGATTCTAACAAGTTGAAGATAGCACTCATTTAGAGCTAATTTTAATTACCTAGCATAAGAAGGATGAATCTCATTGTCTGTATTTTAATTATATTTTTTCGTTCATTTGAAGATTTCTCTTTGACAAAATGGGAAACTGAAAATGGAATTCCAGCAAATACACCTTTACAAAGACAAGAGTTGACAGATTTACTGGAAGAACTTGGTGTTTCCAAATATTTTGAGAGTAAACAATGTAATACAAGTAGCCCTCCTGATTTTCCACATACAGCTGATGGATGGAGAATTGGTAGGGATTTATTTTGTTAAGTGTATCATTACTGTGGATTTGGTTATTTTTGTCAATACCAATTTTCATGGATTAAATTGTATTTTTTTGTGGAAGTTTTTATGGTTTTGCGAAAGTCAGCATTCAAGCCTACAGAATATTTGTTCTCTGTTGTTTATTTAATTTGTGGTTTATCTACATGCAGGAAATCCACAAAAATTTTATACCACTATTCAGTGTACTAGTCTGCAGTCCCTTTTAAAGTCTCTGTTTATGTGCCTCCATCAAATCCTTTCCACTAAATGTCTTGTGTACAACTAAAGACTTGGTGTAAAATAATTTGAATCTGAAGCTTCAAATTCAGTGTTCTAAACCACTGATTACCCCTTCCATGTCTTGTTTTACACAATTAACTTTATCGAAAACAAAAATGAAAGATTGTTTTCGTGTTGCAGATATCTGATTAAAGTTATGTTATTCTCTTCTACATTTTTTTCAGCATGCCCTCTAAAAGTTCACTCAATCTCACATCTGCCAAGCAACATTGTTTGCAGTCTGTCAGATACATGTACCAGTGTGGATTGTTGTATGGATGTGGAGCTGCTGGACAAATCCTTCCACATTTACTTGGACATTGATCCTTGTTACCATAGACTGACCGTGGGTATTGAACAGATGCAGTTTAACAGAAGTTTGCAAGACTATAGTTGGGGTATGGAAAAATATGGATAATTTTAATGACTGCTTATGATAGATTAATGATATTTTGTATAAAGTTGCATTATTATTAGTACATATCAGTTTGCTGTTTATTTCGACTCACTGGCCCTGTAGGTCATGGTCCAGTGACTTTCAATTATTTACCAATTTTCAATGTTCAGTTTTTTGCTTTAGTTAGTTTGATAGGAACTACTTACAATAGACAATGATGTTTTCCTTAAAGTTGTATAACTATCAGTATACATAGAAGTTTGACGACTCTTTTTGACCCCCTGCCTCCCTAGGTCATGGTCCAGTGACTTTCACTTAATTACCAATTTTCAAATTAAGTTTGGGTTTAAGTTAGTTTGATAGGAAGTACTTACAATAGACAACGAAATTTTCCATATTGTTACATTACTGTCTGTACCAGGGCTTCCAAAAAATATTTGAGCCAGCCGGACATTTTATATCTTATCCCAATTTTAATCCCTTAAGACTAAGTCACAAAAGGCAATTATGGTAATCAGATGGCCATCCCAATGATTGACATTAGATTAAAAAAGAAACGATATTAAACTTTACTTTGATGTGAATTTGATGTTCGGAAGTAAACTGTTAAATTGGCAGTGCATAATTCGAAGTGTGCACATCAGCGTGCTCATAACTGCCTTAGACTCTTTATTTGGGCAAAATTACATTGTCAAAAACTTTACTTTCGTTTTTAAAATCACATTTTCCTAAACCGGATGTTGACCTGACAATGGTAAAACATGGACCAGAAACGGATACGTAAAATCCATGTACGTTTACAAAGCACGACTGAGTGAAGAAGCTCTTTCCACGTTATTTCTTCAACAAAATACTTGAAATGAACGTAATATACAGGTATCAATGATAATTTTTATCATTTTTTATACGCCCGTTTACGGGACGTATTATGGTATAACGTTGTCCGTCTGTCCGTCCGTCCGTCCGTCTGTCGGACATGTCGGACATTAACTCAAAAATGCTTTAACCAATTTGCATAAAACTTTGGTGAATTGTTTATATCTATTGATGTGAGCTCCCTTTCGATTTTTATAAAATTTAGATTTTACGTTTCCGAGTTATTGGGTTTTATTCATTAAAAAAAGGGTGATTTTCCAGTTTTCGGACAATAAGTCAAGAATGCTTTCACCAACTTGCAAGAAATTGTGGTGAATTGTTCATATCTATTGACATGAGCTCCCTTTCAATTTTTATAAATTGTAGATTTTTTTTTTTCTGAGTTACAGGGTTTTTATTCATAAAAAAAGGGGTGATTTTCCAGTTTTCAGACAAAAACTCAAAAATGCTTTCAGCAATTCTTATGAAACTTTGTTGAATTGTTTTTATGTATTGATTTAAGCTCCCTTTAGAATTTTATAAATTTTACATTTTACATTTCTGAGTTATGGGGTTTTATTCATTAAAAAAGGGGGTGATTTTCCAATTTTCGGACAATAACTCAAAAATGCTGTCACCAATTCTCATGAAACTTTGGTGAATTGTTTATATCTATTGATGTAAGCTCCCTTTTTATTTTCATAAATTTCTAATATGACATTGAGAATTAATTGAACTTTATTTGTTTATAGTCTGACAACAGATTTACTAAGTACAGTTGGGTGCAGACCAAGCATTACATGTACACGGGCGGAAAAAGTTAACGCGGCGTTTACTCGCGTGCACTTCAAGTTAACGCCGCGTTAACTGTGCGTTAACTCGGAAATTTCAGTAGACATAAAAAGTAAACGGGCGTTTACTTTCGCGTTTACCTTCGCGTTAACGCAAAATCGGCGCGTCTTCTAATTTTGTAAAGAGTAAACGGGCGTTTACTTTCGCGTTTACTTCCGCGTTAACGTGAAAAAGGCGCGTCTTCTAATTTCGTCAAAAGTAAACGCACGTTTACTGTTTGTAGTAAACACGCGTTAACGCAAATTGTCATCGTATCCTGGATACACTGACCTTAAATATCAAATGATAAAGTACATCAAAATTAAATGACCAACTGTTCATTTTCGATTGACATTAACAGTTAATTAATAATGTAATAACACCTCTTAAATTAATTGAAAATTGATCATAGTAAATTTCTTTTTTCTGCACAAACAAACAGTTCAAGCACGATCCTTCTTTTATTCAAATAATTAAATCATCACCAAAATCCAGCATTTTTCACATCTCAGACTGTCCGACTCAGGATGACTCGTTTAACAAAATTAATTGACCTCATTAACCAAAAATGACCATATCTGCACTTCATCAAGTAAATATATATAGCCACACAGTAATTCAGTTATATTTTTAGGTCAGGAGGGACTGTATAATACAAATGACAGCAATATTGGAAAACAATGATTAAAAAATTTGGTTCGCATTAATTTAAAGTGTCAGCATGTCCTGTTTTATACAAAATATTGAATCGTAAACAAATATCAGTAGTTTTCATACCTCAGACTGACTCGTATAACAAAATTATTTTTCCGCATCAACCAAAACTGACCTAATTTGCTCTTTTTTATGTAAATCTTATAGTAGCATACTAAATCAGTAATATTTTTATATCAGTATGGATTGTATAGTACAAATGACAGCAATATTGGAAAACAATAACTAAAAAATTTGGTTCGCATCAATTTATAGTGCCAGAATGTCCTCTTTTTATTCAAAATATCTAATCGTAAACAAATATCAGTAGTTTTTATACCTCAGACTGACTCGTATAACAAAATTACTTGTCTGAATCAACCAAAACTGACCTAATTTGCTCTTTTTTATGTAAATCTTATAGTCGCATAGTAAATCAGTTATATTTTTATGTAAGGATGGATTGTACAAAACAAATGATAGCAATATTGGACCACAATGACTATAAAATTTTGTTCGCATGAATTGAGAAAGCCAAAATGTCCTGTTTTTATTCAAAATATTGAATCGTAAACATATATCAGTAGTTTTCATACCTCAGACTGACTCGTATAACAAAATTATTTGTCTGCATCAACCAAAACTAACCATATTTGCACTTTATCAAGTCAA